AGTGTCTTTAATTGACAGCCCGATTGAGCTTTGGGTGGCCTTTCTTGGAAACCTTTGGGGAATTTTTGAGTTGACGTTGTCTTTTGGCAGCTAATGGCCACCAACCTGCAGACTCACTTTCCAAGGTCAGTCACTCCCAATCTAGAGCCTGGGCAAAGGTCGCTTTAGCACCGTTTAATGGTTGGGACAGTTGAGCCTTTAGCGGCTTTTTTCGCGGGCCTTTGGCGAATTTTTAAGTTCTCTCGATCCTCTAAGAGCTCGTTGTTATTAGCCCGAAGGCTCACGTTCGATGGCCAGCAACTGCCCATCTGGAGCCTTTGCTAAGGTCACTTTACCCGCGTTCTCTTCAAGAGCTCGTCCTCAATCAGGCGTGCGACTGGCAATTTTTGCAAGAGCCTTTGAAGATTTTTTTGACTTGGGGGCTTTAACAACGCAACTTAATCCGCTAGTTTCGCAGGCAAAAATCGCATTTTGCCTGCTTTCGGACCACCAGGAGGCAAAAACACAGCCTCAAATCATCCGCAAACCCCTCAAGGCACTCGCCAGTAAAATATGGCCCCGTCCCGGCATTTTTGCGCCTGGCCAAATGAAAATTCAACAGTTGCGCCTCTTGAAACGTTGCGTCCATAATGCGCACTATTTATGAGCCCTTATCCAGATTCGATCCAGAACAGTGGCGGCCCACAACGCAAGTTATTTATTAACGTAACACAACAACTGCAGTTTTCCATAAAAACTAGTCCTCGTCGTCCTCTTCCTCATCCTCCTCCTCCTCCTCCTGCTCGGGCTCGGCCTCCTCGCCTCCCTCTCCCAGCTGCAGTTTCGGCTTGGGCAAGTGGTCGATGCGCCACTGCTCCTCCTCCTGCCCGGACGGGTCCAACACCTCCAGAACCTCCGGCCCCACCGGATACTCCTGCTGCACAGCAGGCAGAGGCAGCGGCGTGAAGTTGGTCTGCATGTACTTCAGCCCGTCGCCTATGTAGACGTTGTAGAAGCCGCTGGTGGGCGTGGCAAGGGCGTGGCCGCCAGGCCACAGGTTGGAGCGCACCACCGCCAAGGAGAACATGTCCAGAACGCTGGCGGTGGGGCGCACCGTCCACGGATTGGTGGTCTCCAGGGAGGCGTCCTCCGAGAGGGGCGTGAGAAGGGGCGGCCCGCTTTCCGGCTCCACCCGCGTGGCTTTCGGCTCCTCCTCCTGCTCCTCCTCGCCCAGTTGCTCGCCCTCGTCCTCCTCATCGCCCGCGCCCTCCAGGTCGGGCCCGGGGTTCCACCTGGTATAGGGGCAGGTTACTTTTAGCTGCCCCCTACAGGGTGTCCCCTCATGGGGACACCCTGTACGGTTGGGGCTCCGCCCACCAGCTGGTCCTGCCCTGCGGCAGAATGTAGGGCGCCGTGTGCACCCAGAACGACATGGACGAGTCCAGGAGATCCTTCAGGGCGGGGGGCTGGTAGTGGGGGTTGGGGCTGTAGACGGTTTTCGGCTCCCCACCTGCTGCCTGCAGCAGGGAACGCATGCTCAACCCTGTTGSAGTGGTAGTACCGCTGCACAGTTACCTCCTCCTCCTCCTCTTCGGCGCCCTCCCCCAGCTCCTCTGCGCCGAAGGTGTAGAACCCCAGAGGGGCCACCAGGGTGGCCGAGGAGATCCTGGCAATCTGCGCCCTGAGCAGGTGCCTCTCCTGGCCGGGGAACTCTGGGTGGGTCTGGATGGGCGTGTCCAACCGTCCGCTGAAGGCCTTGTGGATCTGGCGCGCCACTCGGATCTGGAATGGGGTTTAAAAGGAACTGGGGGGGGTGGGAGTTGCGAGGTTGCCTGTTGTGGGGAGACGTCCGGCAGCTCGGTCCAGGGCTCCCCTATCCCGGGGCACACGAAGTAGGCCTTCTTGTTGAGGCCCACGCCCGAGGGCTCCATGGGGGCCTCCGCCGGAGGCAGGAAGTGGATCTGGGGCTCCGCCGGCAGGGCCCTGGGGACTTTGGAAGTTGCCCCTTCTCCCGCCAGGGACAGGTGGGCCAGCGCCTCGTCCAGCTGGCTCATCGGGGCGCTGGGCAGCTGGGCGGTTTGCTCCGCAAACTCCTCGTTCCGCCGCACATACTCCTCCTCCTTCAGCTCCGCCTCCAGCACCAGGTAGTTCTGGAAGGTCCCCAGGACCTTCCCCCAGAAGCGGATGGAGGCGATCGGCTTGGCCGCCACCAGCTGCCTCATGGACAGCATGACAAAGACCATCTCCGGCCGGGGCAGGCCCAGCCCCGCCTGTTCCAGATAGAAGAGCATCTCCAGCAGGTTGTTCCTGGACATGTCGGCCAGCTCCAGGTCCTCCGGGTCCAAGGTGGAGGGGGCGGGGGCTGGCAGCGGGCGCAGCGCCCTCAGCATGTGGGAGGCGAGCTCGAAGGCGGCGGGCGTGATGTAGCAGTCCTCCAAACGGTCGGTCAGCGGGCGGTAGCGGCGCTCCTTCACCTTGCGGCTGTACTCCTCGAAGAAGTCGATCACATTCTCGGGCCGCTCCGCCAGGATCCGGTTGAGCACCTCGGTCAGGTGGTCGTAGAGGTTGTCGCCGGTGTTGCCGCTGGCCGTTTGCAGGAAAGTCTTGGCGTTGAAGAATTCCGCCTCGTTGTTCGGCAGCTCTTCCGCCGCTTCGCCGGCATTTTGCGTGACCGAGTAGCCGAACAGCATTTTGCCAGTTGGGGGGGGGAAGTGACGTTGACTGATCGCGGGTGTCAAGGTGAATTCGGTTGGTTCCAGGTGAACATCAACTGGATCATGGGGCCCGAGCTGTGCGACATGTGGACCTCGATCGACGTGCTCTGCTGCACCGCCTCCATTCTCCATTTGGTGGCGATCGCCCTGGACAGGTGAGTCTGCGCCCCCCTAAACGCAGTGGCCCAGATGGGGACGAATGCGCAGGTACTGGGCGGTGACCAACGTGGACTACATCCACATGCGCAACAGTCAGCGCATCGGGGTGATGATCGTGATCATCTGGGTGATCGCTCTGGTGGTCTCCCTCGCCCCCCAGATCCCCCAGTTCAAGGACCCGGAGTACCTCTACCGGATCGAGGTGAAGAAACAGTGCCTGGTCAGCCAGGACGTCAAGTACCAGATCTTCGCCACCAGCTCCACCTTCTACGTGCCGCTGCTGGTGATCTTCGCGCTCTACTGGAAGATCTTCCAGGCGGCCCGCAACCGCATCCGCAGGCGACGCGAGCTGAAGCAGCAGAACGTCCAGACCAGCGAGAAAACGAACAACAACAGCCGGTGAGTGTGGGTGAGGCTGACAGAGGCTGCACGGAAATTGTAGAATCGTCTACCTCAGGCTGACCAGCACGTTCCTGGGCAAGCGCCGGTTCCTGCGCGTGAAGAAGTCGGCGGAGAAGAACCCGTCGGCGGAGGCGCTGGTCAGCTCGCTGGTGATGATGGAGGGCCAGTCGACCACCACCATGGAGATGCTGGAGGAGCATGAGGAGCCCACCAGCAGCAACGACCAGGAGGTGGGTGACTGTCTGCGTGTGATTGTGGGGACTAATTGAGGGTTTCCAGGAGGAAACCACCGCGTTCACCATATCCAGGCCGCCCACTGGCGAGGGCACGCCCCACCAGGTGCTGATCGTGTCCAGTAGTCTTTCGCCGGACAAGTCGTCGACCAATAGCGGCCACAAGGTATGTGGGGGCGGGGCTTGCGTCGAGCTCCTCCCCCTGCACTTGGCTTTGGACCGCGCCGGCCGCACAGTGGGGGTTTTCACATCAATTGCTCAAACCTCGTGGGCGAACAATATAAAAAGTTTATATTTGCTTTTCCTCCAAAGGACATTCTTGGAGTTTCGGCGCACTTTTGGGGAATGTCCCGCAGGTTTGTGTGGTAAAGTGTCCTAAGTTGACGACCCAATTAGGCGTTGAGTGGCCTTTCGTGCAAACTTTTGCCGAATTTTTAAGTTGAGGTTGTCCTTTCGCAGCTTATGGCCACCAACCTGAAGACTCATTTTCATAGGTCAGTTACTCCCAACCACGAGCCTTGACAAAGGTTCTTCTTACGCAGGTTTGTGTGATAAAGTGTCCGTAATGGACTACCCAATTAGGCGTTGAGTGGCATTTTGTGCAAACTTTTGACGAATTTTTAAGTTGAGGTTGTCCTTTCGCAGCTTATAGCCACCAAAAAATTGAACAAAACTTCAAAATTTAGAAAACTAAAAACGTTGGAAACATTCTGGACACGCCGCTGGACAGAGGAGGACAACGCGCCCAAAAAAGCCGATGTTGACTTTTCACCTGAATGGCCGAATAAGCGAGTTACTGGATGTTTTTGGAATTGCGGGCTAATTTTCGGAAAAAAATTCCCCAATTTAGGGAATTTGTGCCAAATCAAATCGCGGTCAAACTTCACTGTGCAGGCCTTAGTGGTCGAAGGCAACGAAAACTGCCCGAAACAGCAGGACAGATCTCGAAAATAACCCATCCTCAGGCTTCTTCACCTGAAAAATTCGGATGAAAATTCGGCCAGATTTTTTTTTTTAATCAGACGTTTGTCACAAACTGAATGAAAATAATCTCCCAAAATATCTGCGCGCTAATGTGTCAGCACTCAGTCCCAGCAACGCGGCTGAGTTACTGTGCCGGCGCACTGAGTTGGCGCAGCAACCACTGCGCCAACACTGAGTTACTCGCGGCCTGGCGTGATTAATGTGCGATTTTGCAGGCAGAAGTCCAGCAGAAAGAGCGCGCGTCCCGAGCGGCGCTTAGTGTGCCGCGGGACAAACACACGCAGTCCCGCCGGGACAAGAAAGAGAGCCTGGAGGCGAAACGGGAGCGGAAGGCGGCCAAAACGCTGGCAATCATAACCGGCGCTTTCGTGATGTGCTGGCTGCCGTTCTTCATTCTGGCGCTGCTGATGCCGCTCTGTGGCGCCGCCTGCACCATCAGCGAGTTCATCATGAGCTTTGCGCTGTGGCTCGGCTACTTCAACTCGACGCTGAATCCGGTCATCTACACGATCTTCAATCCGGAGTTTCGCCAGGCGTTCAAGCGCATTCTGTGCGGCGCCCGTCGCCAACGATCCCGCAATTGCCGATCGGGCAAAGTGCGGTAAAAACCGCTCGTTTCCTTCGAAGTTGGAGGGCGTGAGGAACCGGAAGACCTGCTTTACTTTGGCGTCACTCCGGCATCACTCCGGCGTCACTCCGGCATCACTCCGGCATCACTCCGGCGTCACTCCGGCGACACTTCGGCGTCCCCCAGCCCTTCCCGATTAATTAGTGAACATTTTATGGCCCGCAAACTGAGGGCGGTCGCTACCAAGTCTTTCCACCGTAGATGCAGATTTAGGTACTTTTTACCCCCATTCGGGGGCTAGTGTTAGTCGAACGAAAATTGTACAAAAACCAAGGGGATTATTGTACAATTGCCCGCTACCTCACCCCATTAAAGGGGCACCTTCAGCGTATACGCTATATGATTGAGCCTGATATACCCGTATACTCAGCCTGAAGGTGGCGCTGCCGCAAAAATCAAAACGTTCCTCCATTGTTGTCAAACGAAAATAGTCCCCGCCCCCCTTTTGTACATACATCTATATCCTGCTATATAAACATCATCTCTTCTGCATGTACATACATATTTAAAGCGGTAATAGGTGGCAACACTGTAAAGTTAAGGAACTCGGTTTTGTGATATATAGATATGTTTTTGTTGAAAATTTGAATGTTTATTCTGTAAATTATCGGGCTGGCGCCCCCCACTATTTACCAGTGTAAAGTGTACTAAACATTGTACTTAAGACTATATGGATTCTGTGTGTTGTACATATATAAATATATATACAAATATTTAAAAAATCCTAATAAACATTGAGGATGGACAAATGGTGGTTTTCCTGGGGGGATTTGGAAGGTTGGCTCACTTGGGTGCGTAATGGGTGTGAGTAGGACGTTTGATATTTTTCCTGGACAACCGGGAATTTTTAGACAAAATTGACTGTTGCCAAAATGTGCCGAATGTCCAGAGCGTGCCTGAGAGGCAGCAAATTTTTTTTTTTTTTTAAATGCCAAGAACTTATAATCGAAAAGTTGGGGAGGATTTCTGGCAACACTGCTGGATAGAGGCGCTGTGGCGCACGCCGAAGTAATGTTGCCTTTTTTCTAAAGTGGCGAATCACAGAGCTGCAGCGGGGCGCTTTAAGAGTGTTTGGGTTTTTTGGTTTTTCCCACATAAATTACCCGGAGAATTTCGAAAAATACGAAAATATATTTTGCGAAAACCAAGAATTTTACGCAGGAAAAAATGTATTCGTCAAAAATTGTTCACGAGCTCAAAAAGCAGCTACGAACAATATTTTCAAAGGCGTTGCAAAATTTTTGGAAAAAAACCGTTTTTGTAAAATCACTTTTTAATTTTTTGCTCGAACACCAAGAATTTTACGAAAAAATTAAATCTTCAAAAATTGTTCACCAGCTAAAAATGCAAGTACGAGCAATATTTTCAAAACCGTTGCAAATTTTTTGGAAAAAACCCTTTTTGGAAAATCACTTTTTAATTTTTTGCTCGAAAACCAAGAATTTTACAAACAAAAATCTTCTTCAAAAATTGTTTACGAGCTGAAAAAGCATCTACGAACAATATTTTCAAAACCGTTGCAAAATTTTTGGGAAAAAAAATATTTTTTGGAAAATTACATTTAAATTTTTTGGTCGAAACGAATAATTTTACGAAGAAATTAATTCTTCAAAAATTGCTCACGAGCTCAAAAAGCAGCTACGAACAATGTTTTCAAAACCGTCGCAATTTTTTTGGAAAATCACATTTTAATTTTTTGCTCGAAAACCAACAATTTAGCAAAAAAATGTATTCTTCAAAAATAGTTCACCAGCTTAAAAAGCAACTACGAACAATATTTTCAAAACCGTTGCAAAATGTTTGAAAAAAAAAATGTTTTTTGGAAAGAATTTTAGGAAAAAATTGATTGTGCGGACATCGTTCACGAGCTCAGAAAGCAGCTAAAAAATGATTCGAAAACCGTGAAAAAATTTAGGAAAAAAATCTAAAAAAACTTTTTTTGGAAAATCAGATTTTAATTTTTTGCTCGAAAACCAAGAATTTTACGAAGAAATTGATTCTACAGAAATCGTTCACGAGCCCAAAAAGCAGCTAAAAAATGTTCTGAAAACCGTGACAAAATTTAGGAAAAAATCTAAAAAAAACTATTTTTGGAAAATCGCATTTTAACACATTGCTTGAAAGCCATGCTTGTTACGCAAAAACAAATTCTTCAAAAAATGTTCACGAGCTATAAAAGCGGCTACAAACAATATTTTTTTCGAAAAACTGAGAAATGTTCTAAAAACCGTTGCAAAATTTAAGAAAAAATTGTAAAAAATCCTTTTTTTGGATAATCACATTTTAATTCATCCTGCATAGGTGTTTCGACAAGTGACCAATTAGGGAGCTGCTGAGGATTTTTCGATTTTTAAGGGAGTTTTCGTAATTTCCCCATAATCAACAGAGGCATTTTTTTGTTTTGAAGACACATTTATATTTTTTGCACGAATATCTAGCTTTTTATGCAAAAAATGTGTACTCCGTGAAACATTTAGCGTCAAAACAATTTAAAAACGGTGGAAAAACAGTTTTCAGTCCTCAAAAAAAATCTTCAAAACTGAAGGAAAAATTGTCCGATTTTGGAATTTCCAAAAGCCAATCAAAGCGCAGCTTTTCCAACTTCCGATCCGGATTTCACTCATCGGAAGTGCCTGAACCCAGCGCAGAAAAAGCGGAATTTATCCGCAAAAGTTCGTTTTTCGACCAACCGAAAAATGGCGCCCAAACAATGGCAGGCAAAGGGCCAAAAAGCGTTAAAAAAGCGCCCCGATCGGTCCATTGACGAAAGTTCGTTGGCTGCTTCCGATGCACCCAAAACACGATAATCACAGGGTATCAGGTAGGATTTGAGGACCTGCAAAGGGCCAAAAGACTGATTTGAATACGCACGTTGGCATCGGGCCGAAAATCCGCCCATCCTTTCAGGTGCGCCATCAAAGCGAACTGGGACTAAGTGGGGCCCTACAAAAAGCCCAAACTCAGCCCCGAAATCGTCTGTTGCCTTCCGAGTTCCACACAGTCGAAATGGGTCGCAAACTGATAGCAGAAAGCCGGAAAACCCGAAAACCGCTGGTGGAAAAGCTGCGCAGGGCGCGCATTAACGACACCCTCGACACCCTTAAAGGGCTCCTGTTGGAGTCCCGCCTGCTGGTGAGCCCGGGGGCTCAGCGCCGCACCGCCAAGCTGGAAAAGGCCGATATTCTGGAACTGGCCGTGGAACAATTGCGGTTTTGGCAGCAGAAATTCTGCGAAAATCCGCAGGATTTGGGGTGGACGCCTACTCAAAGTACTGGAGTAAGTGAGTGGCTGTTGCGGGAAAATGGGGAAGAGTGCGAAAACGTGCCCTTTTGGAGGCCCTGGTAGCTGCCCGACACAAACAAACCTCCCCGAAAGCTGTTTTATGTGATATTACCACTGTAAGTTGTTGTTTGTTTGGAATAAAGCCCTTTTTGCCGTTGTTTTCTTGGCATTTTTCGCGTTTACCGACGGAAAAGTTCGGAATTTGACTGATAAAAGTCTTAACTGGAAACCGAAATTTTGGCAACAGTTGCCATTAGCCACCCGCAAGGATTAGCGTTTACCGTCAAAAAGCCCGGTTTACGAAAAAAAAATCAATCTAAAACTGATCTTTAGCTCAAAGGTTCGGAAACCCAGTCCAGCCCTGTGCGCCTGACCTTCGCTTTCAGCCTGGTGTGAGAGAGGCGGCGACACGCGCGCGCGGAGCCTGTAATGCGTCAGACAGAGACAACAGCGCCCGGGTACGTTCGGCCGGTGGGCTTCACAGCTTGCGCCACAGAGCCGGGCTTCGCAGAAAGTATTAAGTAATAAAGTAAAGTTTTATAATATTTTCTGATAAAAATCGAAAAATCTGCAACAGCGCGGTCACAGCGAACGTTAAGGGAAACTGGTCTTAATTGGCAAAAAAGTCCTCTATACAGAGGCGTGCGTGGAAAGGCGTTTGTGAACTTCCAAATTGGACAAGTTTTCAGGCGCAGAATGAGGAAAACACACTTTCCGAACTTCGTCCGGCTGCAGCTTCAGCATTTTTCAAAATTTTCGAAGGGCAAAACGCAGTTTCGGAAGCTGCAATCTTGGGCTTTCTTCACTATCTTTGAATTCCAGAATCGGCTCTTAATTGGGGACGTTTTGAGGTGAAATGTGGGCACTTTGCCGACTACGTCGGGCTGTGGCTTCCACAATTGTCCCAATTTTGGGCATCAAAACCCTGCCTTCAGCCCATCTAAACCGGCCCTTTCTTCGGCTGTTTGAAAACCCAAAATCGGCCAAAAATTGGCAGCGTTTTTCAGGTGAACAGCGGGTGGAGAGTGTAAAAAAGACCTTCCCGTACGTAAAACATGCTTTGCAAAGCCCRAARWCTGCGCTTCMWWSGACYGAACAWCYTSCGTCTKTMCTGATCTYMCGGCMGRYAAAAACTGCGTTCAAACGCTGAAAACSKGCSCTTTCC